CATTCCCTATAGGAATAAAAGTGAAAACTATTTTTTTATCTAATTGGATTTCCCTCTACTTACCTCCTACCTCACCCTCCTCCCACCCCATTCTGCCCCAGCTATAGTCTCTTTCCTTTGCTGATCTGAGGTATAGAAGTGCAGACACCCTACCTCGGAGTCTTCACACTTGCTGTTCCTCCTGCCTCAAACACACATCTCCCAGAGAGCAGCATGGCCAGCTCCCTCCTTCAGGCATCTGTCTGCTCATATTTCATAGAGGAGTCTTCCCAAGTCCCTACACTAGCACCCTCCCCCTGCTTGTCCCTATATTATTTATGTTTCCCTCTCACTTAGAATGTCCTTTCTGCTCCACGAGAATAGGTATTTTGCTCACTACTTGTTTTCTTAGCACTCAGGATCATGCCTACCATGTGGTCGGCACACAAAAATATGCTGCACAAACCATTCAGAATCCTCTCAGTGTCTCACATTTCAACCTCTTTTACTGACACTGGCTTGAACTGGTCCTCATACTGGTGGAAAGCCATTCACCTTAAATTTTACCTCAGTCACATTTCTTAATCTATCAGATTACTTAATGATAATGTTTCTCTCTACATTTTCCTGTCTTCTCACATTTAAATCCCTGAAACAGCTGCCATTTAACAATTTTTTCAGCATTCAGAAAAAGCCCAGTTCTCCTTTGCTACTGTAACTTATTATAATATTGACTACAGTAACTTGAGCTAATAATTTTTATTCAATTGATTTAATATTTGAAAGTCATGAAACATTCATTTCCACCCTGAAACTATAGCTTCTCTTCTCAAATGAAATCCCAAGTCAAGAGCAGTAAAATGCAGAATTCTACAGTCCAGTCCCCAATTAGGAATCCTCTCTCGCCTTTGAATTATCCAAGTTTGTTGCTCCTTCCATTTCTCCTTCCTGTTCAAATTTTAATCAGGTCAGGATTTTTTCTAGCACTGGTCCATTGGAAGATGAGAAAACACGACACATCAAATTAGTTTATGTACTTGACCACAGTCATAACCAAAAAGCAGATCCTGGTAGTGCAAGCGTGTGGGTTAAAACGGGGACGGGAGAGTAATGAGTTCATTTGTCTGTTATCCTCGGTCTCATCTATCCTAAAGGTCCAGAGTAACTAAGACCTCCCTGCAAAGACAGTCAATGGGTGCAGACTAATTTTCCATCAGGGGAGAGAGATCTCCGACTCTTGGCTCCTACAAGTCACCTTGTGCTTCCTTTGATGCCACTCCTCCAGGCTTTTTAGCAGTCACTTCATTGCCAAAATGTCCCAGTGGTTTCAATGGACCCACATAAATTTATATTTACACTTAAGCAGCACTTTCAAAAAAATGAGAATAAACTTGTAAAAAGAAATCAATCCCCATGCCATTTTATAGTTCTTTTATTTTTACTTGGTGTTAATGGGATTTTAAAATGTCATCATGGATTTATTTAAACTTCTACCTATTAACCTTTTGACATCTGGAATCTGCTGTTAAGACTAGACGTCAAAGATAATTTTAAGAATATTTCAAGAGATTAACTATTCTGAAAGTTGTAGCTTTAAAAAAACATTTGTCAATGTTACTTCTGGGTTTGTATCTACCAGAACTAAGAGTACGGAAGAGATAGTTGCACATACGTGTTCACAGCAGTACTATTCACAACAGCCAAGAGGTGGAAGCAACCACATGTCTGATGGATGGATAAATGAAATATGGTATTTACATACAATGGAATACTATGCGCCTTTAAAAAGAAAGGAAATCCTGTCACATGCTACAACACGGATGAACTTTTGAGGACATATGATAAATGAAATAAGTCAGTCACAAAAGGACAAATACTGTGACTTTTATGAGGTCTCTAAAGTAATTTATAGAAGAAATTCAAATCAAATTCATAGAAATAGAAAGTAGAATGGTGGTTTCCAGGACTTTGGGGAAGGACAAGAAGGGCAGTTGTTTACTGGATATTGAGTTTAGTTCTGCAAGATGAGGAAGTTTTGGAGCTCTTGTTTCACAGCAATGTAAATACACTTAACACTACTGAATGTATACTTAAAATGGTAAACTAATGGTGTCTTTATCACATACAAAAAGCAAACACATCTGTATTGTTTGCACATACGTTTTTCAATGAAGATGGGGCAGGACAGATGCTTATAGTGTATACGCAGCATTTATCCTTATAATGCAACTAGAGGCCTGGTGCACGAAATTCATGCATGGGGAAGGAGAGTCCCTCAGCCTGGCCTGCACCCTCTTGCAATCCAGGACCCCTCGGGGGATGACCAACTGCCCATACCTGCAGGATCGGACCTAAAATGGCAGTCAGACATCCCTCTCGCAATCTGGGACCGCTGGCTCGCCTGCCTGCCTGCCCGATCGCCACTAACCACTCCGCCCGGCTGCCTGATCATCCCTAACGGCCTCTGCCTTGGCCCCGCCGCTGCGGCTTCATCCGGAAGGATGTCCGGCTGCCTGGTCTAATTAGCATATTACACTTTTATTATTATAGATTTCCTTTTATTTTTTTATTTTATTTTTTTTAAAATATATTTTATTGATTTTTCACAGAGAGGAAGGGAGAGAGATAGAGAGTTAGAAACATCGATGAGAGAGAAACATCGATCAGCTGCCTCCTGCACACCCACTGGGGATGTGCCCGCAACCCAGGTACATGCCCTTGACCGGAATCGAACCCGGGACCTTTCAGTCCGCAGGCCGACGCTCTATCCACTGAGCCAAACCGGTTTCGGCTATAGATTTCCTTTTAAACCACACACCAAAAAACCTTCCATAAACAGCATTTATTAACTATATCAAGTACCGAGTATCCTAAATTATAGTTTATTAATTAGGGAGGAATGACTAAGTATACAAAGTGAAGAGAAATTGGCTATTCTTTCTTATAGTTTATCTTCGTATCTGATCTATGTCTGTCTTGTCCATTAAGCAGACAGTAAACTCCAGTGTTTGGTTTTGTTTGTTCACCATTATATCTCCAGGGACTAGTACTTAAGTATTTATTAGATAAGTGAATATAAACACTTGAAGATGTAGTAAAATCCAGTTCTATAATCACCAAGTTCAAGTGTAGTAAGAGATATACCATAAAAAGAGGCAGAATCAACTTTCAAAAAACTAATTTTAATCAAAACAAAAATTGTTGATCATTAACAAGTTTATAAAACAGTGATTTAGTTACATAAATAAATTGATATCAGTGTATCAAATCTTAATTACTTTCAACTTCATGAGCATGTTTACATGGGTGATGAAGTACAACCTTTTTTTTTTCTTTTTACCTATTATAATAAATAAAATGGAGCGCATGAAATAGTTCTTCTAAACAAAAATACCTACAAACATACCTCTAGCATGTTCTCTAATGAAGGGAACAAGAGACACTGGACAACTTTTGCACCAAAACATAAAAATTGCTTTAAAAAGCACAAGGTTACAGAACCATCAGCTAAAGTAAAGACACTATACTGTAACCAAAGTTGGTATTTCATAATATAATGAACAGTTTGGTAGTTAGATCTCCAGTTTGGTTATTTTAAAGCATTAAGACAAGGCAAGATAGAAGGCTGCTTTTGTTTTGAGTAATTCTAGAGAAAATAAAATATATTTTAAAAAAAAGAAAGAAAACTGAAAAGTAGAACAGTCCTACCTACACAACTTTCTGTCCTGCACAAAGTCAAAATACCTATGCAGAAGAGACATATAATATATATAATGTTATTTGTGCACAAAGGTTAGCTTATTAGCTCACTGCAAAGGCGTTATGTATCATAAGTCAATTGTTCTGGAAAACATTTTGCGTTTGTGTCAAAAGGATATTTAAGTTTCGTAGGCTAGGAGGCACGAACCCCAGTTCCGGCACACTGTATATTCTTAATGCTAAGGCTGCTGCTCTGGCTGTGTTTTTGTTGTCCCTCTTTCTTCTAGTGCCTGTTACAAGCATGTGTGGTGTAGTGGTTGTTGTTGTTGGTGGTATGTGTGTGTGTCTGGTGTCTGTATCTACATATATATGTATACATAAGTTGTATAAATATATATATACATATATAATTTCTCCCAAATAGATCTCAGTCCAACCATGCAATCCAAAGGTGGCTCTGCATAGATGCCCAGTATGAAGTTCACCGCCTGAGCCAACCCTGAAGCAAGGCGCACTTTTAGTCCCTCTGATAGGTTTTCTCTCAGTTTTTTGTTTTTGTTTAAAACCAAGCTACTGCAGCTTCAAGTATTTTGCATTACATAGAATATTTTTTATAAATTAGTTAATGTTATATTTTCAATATTCAGACATATACTATAATATATATACAGTACAATAAATGCTCTCATTCTTTTTTAATTTTTTTGATAAATCCCTGAGAATGTATGTTGACAGTCGCTAAGTTTCCACATGCACAAGCATCGTGTGCCATGCTTCTGGACGAACAGCATTGCAAAGCCACGTGGGTCAGCCTTTAACTACTAGTATTTCATTTTGTTGGTTTGTTTAAATATGCTGAAAATGTAAAGATGAGTTACAAAGGAGTAAAGCTGAATCCATTCGAGGTACTTATCACAGGATGGAGGTGTTCTGTTTGGTTTTTAAAGCCATTTCAATTATTTTTTTTGAGGCTGTGAACGTATACAGAAAACAGGAGAGCTATGTGGACTTTTGCCACTTGACAACATATACTCAGTGTAAACCAAACCTTTTTAACGTCTCTCTCATACAAAAAAAAAAAAAAAAAGAATTAAAAAAATATAATAAAGTAAAAGGAAAGAAGAGAAGAGAAAGGGTAGAAAAAAATTAAGAACACACAAACTTTCACAACATGACAATTTAGTCTGCAAACGCAATAGAACTATACACATATAATACCGGTGTGGCTCTGTTCTTTAAGTTAAAAAGGATACAAAGGCAGGCTCAAGTAAAAACAAACCATCCCTCCCACCCCCACCCCCACCCCATTCATACAAGTTCTATCAACCAAACCTCTCCCGAACCAACATCATCAGTTTCTTTTTGCCTTTGTAGATTTGTTTCAGGTTGTCAATAAACTGCGTAAACTGAATGTGTCCGTCATGCGCCATTAGGAAGGTCTCTCGGGCCTTGCTGAGGAACTCTATAAACTCACTATAGTGCCGAGGACTGATGTGGGTGAGTCGCGAGTGCGTTGTGTTGATGTAGGCCCCGATCGTGGCATCCAGGAGCTGCCTCAAGGGGGCTTTGTCCAGTGACATGAGCTTACCAGAGTTCCTCCTTCCATGAAGTCCCACCATGCCAGGAGTGGTCAGAGTGCACCTGCGCAAAATGTCTGACAGTACCGTTGCACACTTGACACTCTTGACCACCAGAGGTATTATAGCTGCAAGCTCGTTTTTACCGAGGGAGTGGCTGAGCGCACAGGCCCACAAAACGTCATTAATGGCAGGGTGCGTGTCCTGATTGTAGCTCAGGTTGAGATGGGTCATGGCCAGGGTGGCCAGCTTGTAGGCCCTCATGGGGTACCCGCGGTGCTCCATGTACCGTGCTATCGTGAAGAGCTGGGTGTAGCTCATGCCGGTGGTAGCAGCGTCGAGAACAATTTGGTACGCCGTCTCAAAGGCTATGTGATCCTTTTCACATAGGGTGAGTGCGGAGAGGGCGCAGTTCTGAGGGTCCTTCATGGCACACTGCAATGCGAGTGTCCGGGCACTGCTGGCCAGCTTTTCCTGCTGATGGCAGTCCAGGTGGAGGCGGACAATGGTGCTGTTGGACATCACCGTGGTTGCAACTATACTTGTGGCCTCGGTGGGAGTAAAAAGCGTAAACCAGCTCTGCATGATGCTGTCTAGGGCATAAACACCTGCGAGGAACACAGAGAAGCCTTATTACTGACAAGGACGCTGCCTAGAGGTCTGGCCTTATTTTCACTTTACAATCAATGCTTACATTGTTAACTATCACCAGACATGAGCGAGGCCAGAAAATCCTATAAGGTAATGTGCCTGGGAGCAACCTTTTAGAATAAAGTTATTATGGATTGTTATTCAGTGAAGTGCCTGAAAGGAACATGAACTTCCTGTAATACAGAACTAATCCTCTCGGTAGCTGGTATTTGCACTGTGCTGCTTGCCATTTCAGACAATGGCTTTTTGCTAATGAGTTCCAGTTCACTGGGGCCTCCTGTCAGATACCCACTACAGAATCTGTAGTTTTTCTCAGAAAAACCACAACCCCCAATAAAATAGGTAGTTTTTATGTGGTGTGTGTGTGGGTTTGTGTGTAAGTTTAAAATACACACGATATAAAATGATTAAGACACACAAAGAAGCAGGAAAATGTGACCCATAATCAAGAGAAAAACTTCAACAGAAGCAGACCTACAGATGACTCAGATGTTGGAAATGGCTGACAAGAACTTAAAAATAACCATTTTAAGTACACAGACCCAACATGCCTCAGCTGTAGAAAAGTCCTAAAGGTGAATGTTTAAAGAGAAGGTACTAAATTGCAGAGAGAAATTAGGCATGTATCTTGGTGCAGAGGAGGGGAATTGTGTGGCAGTTCTTAAGGTGGTATTACTTTGTATTGTTTCACTAAAGCATCACATCAATAATATAAACATAATTTTTATATTGAGACCAATTTACCTTTTCCCAAAATAACAAAGCATCACAAATTAATAAAAGAATAACAAGAATGACTTTACAGTATCTGCTGTGTCAGTTTCTAAATACTGAGGTGGTAGTGTCCTCTCAGCAAGAGGTATGTGTCCTTTTCTGATGCAAACAGGAAGAAAGAAAGACAGGTGAACCAACATTTATTTTCAACAGCCACCATTTTGTTGGTGTTGATGCTCCTGCTGGGAATGTAGTTTTTTCAGCACTGACTGCTGCAGAGGGGAAGCAGGCAGCTAAAAGGTCTCACAAATTGCAGCTTGGGGGATCTTCTTAGGGCTAGTTACAACATCTCACACATTTGAGAGCTCACCTGAACCATACCCAGTGGTCATTTCTCTGCTGGGCAGCATGACAAGGCCTGAGAGGATGAAGAAAACACTCCGAGCAAATAGGCAACTATATCATTTTTACTGAAATGGACTGAACCACTAATCCAGTCTCAAGTTAGTTTCAAAGGTGGGCTCCAATCCACCAAGGATTCATGCTGGAATCCTTTAATATAAAATTGTAACCTGATTATCACAAAAAGTTACTAAAAGCACCTTAATAGTGACAGAACAACTGGATAAAAAGCGTCTTCTCACTGACCTATTCCATTTTAGTGAGTTTGGAGCCCCACATACTTGACAGTTTGGAAGAGGAGCAATGCAAGTGTGTACAACTGAAGGCTGGAGGGAAGGGAGCCCCTGTTGGTTGCTGGAGCGGCAGGAGCCTTGGAAAAGTCAAGGTGAAAGAGGGAAGAAGTTCTTGTATCTATAACTGAGGAGTTAAGTCTGACAGGAGGTATTGGGGAAGCTCCTCCTCCAGAGTTTACCTACCCACTTCAGTAGCACATGTTACCAGCCATCTGACCATCTCCCGCCGTCGCCAATTTAAGGTTGACAGTGTCATTCGCATAACCTATAAGAAAGATAGGAAAACAAAGTGTTTTGGAAGATTATCCCAAGTCAGTGGAAATATAAAACAATTCATTCCAAGGTATAACTACATGGCAGTCCCCCTATTAGCAGGAGGACAGAGAGACATATTTAGAGAAAGCTATGCATATGAATTTGTCCATGGCTCTCCCAGCCTTGTCCCAGCCAGAGTGGCAGGAGGTCCACACTCTACTCCTGGTGGGCCAACTGACCAGATGCAGCATCCTGGACAAGTCACTCAATCACTTTTTTCTCATCTGCAAAGTAAGAGGCCTGGGCTGAAGCATTAAACACAGCCCAGGCCTCATCTTCTCCCCAACTTTAACACTCCATGGTTTTAGATTTCTGAGGCTCTCCTGAAATAATTCTGATTACAAATCCTCAGATGGCAGAGGTATTTTAGTCATTATTTCAGTCTCTGGTTCTCTTGTTTGGCAAGTGTGAAGATAACCTCAGGTCCATGAAAAGAAATCATCTTTGGCATCATTAGTGATCTGATTTTGTTTTTCACTTTCTAATAAGAGACCCCAAGATAAAATATCCCTCTGTTCCTATTTCCCCCATTTTTTTAAGATTCAGAAAACCTAGGCACGTAACTCCTAAAGCCTTGGAAAGGCCCTGTGGGATTTCTTCCTGTGTCTTACAAGGAATGAGGCAGGGAGCAAACTCTCAGTAACCTGCCATTTATCCCCCAAATCTGCCAGGATTCCAAATACCTGGAAAACTTGTATTAATGTGTGTTTTTTCCTGCATACCTTTAAGAGGCAAAAGAAATAAGCCAAATAACCAGAATTTATTTTTATAAAGAAACTTCTAAAATGTCATTTTATTGTTTAAATGCAATCAATCTCCTATACCAGTGATGGCGAACCTTTTGAGCTCGGCGTGTCAGCATTTGAAAAACCCTAACTTAACTCTGGTGCCGTGTCACATATAGAAATTTTTTGATATTTGCAACCATAGTAAAACAAAGATTTATATTTTTGATATTTATTTTATATATTTAAATGCCATTTAACAAAGAAAAATCAACCAAAAAAATGAGTTCGTGTATCACCTCTGACATGCGTGTCATAGGTCCTATACCCTCTGCTCGTATAGTACTATATACGGTAACTGTATTTTCTTGTAATACAATTCTTTAAACTTTATTCATTACTGTAAGGAGAATCCATAACTAGAAAACTAGATTAATCACCTAATCAGGGTATTCCATTCCCCATACTTTAGGTAACTAGAGGATAAAAATTTCTTTCACTGCTTTTCAAGGAGGGGGGAAAAAGCCCCCATAAATGTATACAGAGATTTCCCGAGAAAAGTAGAAATATAAACTTTACAGTTCTGGGTTTACACAGTAATCTTTTCAGAGTCTATAAGAAAGCAAACATCTATTGGCATGACTAACTGAAAATGTCCTGGGTAATATGTCTAAGTGGCTTGCTGAATGCTGAAACTGGCCCCTGGCACTATCGCTCCTTCTTTTTCTTTTTTTAAAAATATATTTTTTATTGATTTCAGAGAGGAAGGGAGAGGGAGAGAGAGATAGAAACATCAATGATGAGAGAGAATCATCGATCGGCTGCTTCCTGCATGGCCCCCACCGAGGACCAAGCCCGCAACCCAGGCATGTGCCCTTGACCGGAATCAAACCTGGGACCCTTCAGTCCACAGGCCGATGCTCCATCCACTGAGCCAAACCAGCTAGGGCCATCACTCCTTCTTTACCTAATTTCTCAGGGTTATAAAAGAGAGTGCCTTGGCTGGTTTGCTCAGTGGTTAGAGAGTCAGCCTATGGCCCAAAGGTCCGATTCCTGGTCAAGGACAGGTACCTTGACTACAGGTTCAACCAGTTGATATCTCTCTCTCACATCAACGCCTGTCTGTCTGTCTGTCTCTCCTCCCTCTCTCCTTCTCTCTCTCCCCCTCTAACCTCCCCCCTTCCACTTTCTCTAAAAATCATGGAAAAAATACCCTCCCTCTTTGGATGAGGATTAAATTAAAAAAGAGCTAGAACTACCCATCTATTATGAAAATGCAAACATCAATAAAAATTACTTCCTCTAAAAATTTACCCCTAACAACTGAATCTTTATTATACACTAGAGGCCCGGTGCACTAAATTCATGCACTGGGGGGGTGGGGGGGGTGGGGTGGGGGTGTCCCTCAGCCCAGTCTGCACCCTCTCCAATCTGGGACCCCTCAGGGGATGTCCAACTGCCGGGATTGGGCCTAAACCAGCAGTCGGACATCCCTCTCACAATCCAGGACTGCTGGCTCCCAACCGCTCGCCTGCCTGCCTGCCTGATTGCCCCTAACCACCTCTGCCTGCCAGCCTGATCACCCCCTAACCACTCCCCTACCAGCCTGATCAATGCCTAACTGCTCCCCTGCCGGTCCGATTGCCTCCAACTGCCCTCCCCTGCTGGCCCGGTACCCCTCAACTGCCCTCCCCAGCCAGCCCGGTCGCCCCTAACTGCCCTCCCCTGCCAGCCCATCACCCCCAACTGCCCTCCCCTGCCAGCCCGGTCGTCCCTAACTACCCTCCCCTGCCGGCCTGATCGCCCCAACTGCCCTCCCTTACTGGTCTGATCGCCCACAACTGCCCTCCCCTGCCGGCCATCTTGTGGCTGTGGGTGCTGCCATCTTTGAGGGTGGGGCAGTCAATTAGCATATTCCCTCCTTATTAGATAGGATGATAGCTTTATTTAAGTCTCTAATGAGCAGTAATTCTTCTCCATTCATTAAAGGAGAAAAGGTGACGTTAAGGCTATAGAAAATGATTTTTTATTTGAAAGACACATATCAAATCAGCCTTCTAAATGTCAATGCAGTCCCTGCACCTCAGGCAGTACCTGGTTCAGGGGAAATGACCTCAGCTCTGAAGCACAGTGCTCTCCCGAAAGTCTAACAGACTTATGCACCCAACTCATTTACCTGCACTAAATAAATCCAAGTAAGCAAACAGAAACAACTTCAAAATGCTGCCTTTATTTAGCAATCGTTGGTATCCTAAGAAAGACCATGAGTCACATACCTGCAGGCCCAGCTCCAGAGACACTTTCAAAAGAGTGATGTCTGGCAAAGTGTCCATGAGAGTTGCTATTTTAAATGCATCCTGGGCAAGCTTGAAGATGTGGGATGAGGAGTGAATGTTTTTCTGGATGGATTCTAATACTGTTTCCAGCCTCCGAACATCGCCTGCAATGAACAAGGAAAAACCAAACGAAACCAAATCAAAGCAAAATAAAAACAAACAAAAAAATCATACCAAACACACATACAAAGGGAAGTAAAAAGTAAACAAAATAAACATAAAGCAGAAGTTAATTTCCCTGAAATGTTCACAGATGGCACAGATGTTATAACTAAGTCACTGCCATGTCTATGAATCTTGGCTTCACCCAAAAGAAACACTGAAACAAACCCTCAATGACTAAAAACACATGTGACCCAGGACCAACACGAGATAACAAATAGCTCTCCTAGTTCCTACTTATATATGTTTGGTGAATATTTCAGGGAAAGAAAAAAATATAACCAAACTTTTCAATCTCCTTCTGAATCTCAACCATCACTCACACGACATGGCAACTAAACCTGAACTTTGCCAGCAACAGGTTTAATGATGCAGTTAAAAGAGGAAAATGCCAGGCTCAAATGAACAACACCTATTTTGCCCCATAAGCTAACACTAATGAAAAGTATCTCCTACAACCCACTACTGAGAATCTGATAGCAAACATGACCCTTAAACAAAAAGGTAAACTAACAAAATAATCATGAGGCCTCAGGACAATCCAATACCTTTGGCTGCAGTTAGCATGGTGGACGCCAGCTCACACTGCTGGGATTCTATGTGGCTTAAAGTGAACCAGCGAGGGTATCGGTTGGGAACAACTGATGCAATGTGGTGTGGGCGGGTGAGGTCTCCTGCTGGAGCAGCAGATTCCAATACTAGTAACCTGTAACGAGAAGAGACAGGGTAGGTGGCTCCTGGTTATCACTCATCTATCATCTTTGCCACGGGGACTAGCCTATTGCCAGAGGAGTGGGTAGATGCTGGGAGAACCGGTCAGTCCTTGTGCAGGAGGAGCTGGTACAGCTACACTCTGCTGTCTGGATGCCAAAGTCATCTTGTTAATTACTCATTATCCAAACCTAAGGGATTTCTTTCTTTAACACCGTTCAGAAAATTGCACAATTCAAAGAAATTAAGATATGTAATAATGAAGTATGAAACTCAGTCTTGATGTTTACCTACTTTCAAATTTTTGAATCTTACCACTCATTAAAAAATAGAAATCAACAGAAAACTAACAGTGAAGTGGATATTAAGACTTAGATTACAACAGTCAGGGATCGGGTAGATAACTGAGATATATATGCTTAACTTACTAAAACACAACATAAGAGGGAAAGTAAAAAAAAAAAAAAAAAAAAAAGACTCCCTTTCCATTACTCATACATTCTAAAAAATGAGTTCCTTATCCCTTCAGGCATTTGTAGTTAGAATAGGTTCTATTATATATATATGAGAAGATGAGGAATGCATATGTTCCAAGTATTTGTCCTTGACAGTCTCGTATTAATTCCGTGAATTTCCCATTTCAATCAATCTTTGATTAATATGTTGACAAATAAAGAATAATTATTAAAAACAAAGCACATGCTTAGTGATCGTCTCCAAATATAACTGCCAAAGAGATTAGTACAGTAGCTATAACTGAAATAATTCCTCTACAATCATCAAAACACTGATCTTCAATCAAGTACACCAGTATTAGGAACTACAGAATAAGAGCTGGGGATCAAGAAGAGTTAGCAAGGTCAGGGTGTGAAGCTGGCCTTGGGGCCCCATCCAAGAGCAGGTACTGCTCTAGGAAATCAAATGCCTCATTATCTTTTCCCTTTATCTAGGGACAAAGAGATGTTAGCATTAGAGGATGGCAACGTAGTCAATTAAGTAATAAGCATTTTGGTGGGGTTGCTCTTTAGTTTAAAAAAACACACAAAAACACCCAGAATGTTCCTGAATTAACAGGCAGATCTTTCCAGAGTTGTTGTAGAAGAAACTAGTCAACCCCCCTGGAAAGATGAGAAAATGAGTGCTGAAAACACCCTTCCCCAGCCCACCACGCCTACTTCCAGAAGGACCAAGCAGCAAGTAAGCTACAGGTCTCTCTTCCTTCCTGTTCCCATGGCTGCCCTAGGAGGTCCCACCACATAGTCCTTTGGCAGGGGGATGGTGGCAGGTAGAAGAGAAGAGGTGGGAAAGCAATTCCCTTGTGCCCTTCTAGTACCCCGTGAACAAACTGCCTGGGCAGCAACCAAGCACAATCATAAATGAGTTTCTGAGTGTCAGCCTTAGCATAAGCCAGACCCACAGAGAAATCTTATGCTATTTTCCTCTTAAACTTTGCAATGGTCAGAGCAATTGCATCTGGTGGCATCATAACATTAGCATCCTTCCCTTTACACAGGAGCACAACTCTCAAATTTGAATAGGTATAGAGCTGAGCATCTGTCTTCATCTGACAACTTTCAGCTTCCAAACATGGGAACAGGAACTCACTAAGTGTGCTTTAATACTTTGTACACCATAAGCGTCTATAGACGCAAGCGAGATAAAAGCGTCTTTGGACATGTGGCAGTTAATTGGTTAAAACACAAACCAAGTGGTATAAAATAATTTGGTGGGAAACTTTTGCTTGTTAGTTTTAAATTTATTTTTTGGTATTTTAAAAATAGACAAGAGAATTTATAAGGTTTCTCTAGTAGGTAAATGAAACTTCACATTGCCAAGGGAAGCATGTGAAATTGAAAGATGTCAGCCTCAGAACACACTGACACACAGGTACACACACACCCTTATCACTGCACCAAAAAAAAAAGGCCTCTGAGAGATGAGCTACACACATAAAAAGGCAAGAGCTTGATTTGAACCCACTGTACTGGTTGCAGACATAGAGTCTTTGATGAAAAGTTTCTATGGGATCAAACTATTCTCCGGCACCTCAAGCTTTTAGGTTATGTTCATGGTTTGTCTTTAGGTGACTATAATGAGGTCTAATCTGCACTTTAACATAGAAGTGCTTTAATTTCTTTTTAAAGGAAAAAGTTCATGTTTTAAGAAAGGTAGATAATTCCTTTCAGGTCCTTGAAGCACAATAGGCTACAAATAATACTGACAAATACATCTTGAAGTCACTAAAAAATATTCACCAAGAACAGATTGGCAGTAAAAATAATTATCTGGTGAACTGACTTTTAAAAGAGAAGTGAAAATAGAAAGGTGAGTGGCAGAGAACATACTCTAATTGTTATTGCTGAAGAGGAGGGACTGGAGAGGACATGGCAGCAGTCAGTGCTGAGGGGGGCAGATCCTGGCAGACCAGCATCTGTCCTCCTAGTGAAGCCTTCAGCACTAGAAACAGTCCCATCCCCGTCACCCTCCACTGGAGTGCAGGGTATGACAGCAGTCAAGGATACCATCTTCCTTTTAACCAGAAGTCAAACAAGCCCACGGCCCATGAACAAACCACTACACAATCCAAGAAACATATAAATAAATATGTTCTGTAGATTTTCTGCTGCCTACAAGAAACATGAATGAATGAGAAATCAGTGAACAGCCATTCCTCCCAGGGGGGAATTTGGATTGCATCTGCCCGGCTGGGCTGTGAATACGTACCGCATTGCTCTCAGTGCAATTTTGTATGCCAATTCAGCATCATGAGGTAGGAGAGAGGTGAAGAGATACTTGGCAAATGTGTGCATTGGAACGCTCTCCCGATGGATTATTTCGCCTAAACCACTATATGGTCCGGCTGTGGGAAGAGAGCATACACATTTTACATTCCTAAAAAAGGAACTAAGATTTCATGTAAAGTATATCTTAAAATTGTTATGTAAAGTTATAACATATACAAGCTAATCTAGTTAAGAATGTAATCTAAGTCAGCGGTCGCCAACCGGTGGTCCGAGGACCACTGATTGTCTGCGAGGTCCGAAAGGTTGGCGACCGCTGATCTAAGTGGCATAGTAGAAGGAATACAGATTCTTAGTCAAAAATGATTCTATAGGCTATAGTATTCAAAGTCGAATTTACTTCAGGAACAATCCTCCAACTGCACCGCAGCTGAAATGAGAATCAAAGACCTAAAGGGCAGAGCTTTTTCACATTAACTGCTTTGGAGAAAGAAACCTTCCAATGTATAAAACCTCACTGAATTCAAGAAACATCCTCTGTACACGTGTATGTTCCAGCATCCAGATTTTCAAATGCACAGATAACTCTGCCGCTTAACTTTGGAACCTGTGCCTGGTCCCTCAGTCTCAAGGGCACAGATAAGCCAAGTTTCCAGAAAAGAGTGCTCTGAAGGGTTGGGGAGGATTCTGAACCACAAATCTCAATACAAAGACTTTAAACATTGTTTCTTCTAATAAGCAGAAATACTGATTCTCAGAAAGTGATTAATAGTAAGAGAATAGTTACCCATTTGATACTCACCGTAGGCAAAAGAAAAAAAATTAAAGTAACTGAAAATTTACTTTTTGCGCTCCAAAAGACCAATTTTAAAAGCAAAATTACATTGAAGCAGCCAAAATTCATTTCTTAGTAAGCTATGACAGGAATGGTGGCAGAGCCGACTTCCCCTGTGATCTCTGAATGCTGCCCTAGGAAGGGCAATACAGACTTTTAAATTTTTAAAGGAAACCACAGTGGTTAGTTCAACTACTTTCCACTTACGTACCTTGAGGTTTAGTTACTGTAAACTGTATAATAAATTAGTTTCCATGTCACCTTTGGGTAAAAACTGTTTCATGATTTCTAGAGTTATGAACCATGACACTACTGCTCAAAGGACATAATGCATTTGTTTTCCCTGAGAAAAATCAGTCTTGTGAAGAGTTTAAAATGCAAGAAATGCAGAAGAAACGGTGAGAGGAGTTACTGCACTAGCATGGAATAGGAACATTACGTATGACATATTATAGATAATTTTAATAGAGGTTATTTTTAAATTTCATTAGTATTTTTGAATTATTTGTTCTAAGTACTTGAAAAATCATATAGTAAACACCATTTTTTTTTAACCTAGGTAAATTAAAATCCATCCTACATTTCTAATTTTACCAAACCTATTCAACTTTTTCTTGTGTTTAAGATATTTAAAAATGCTTTAATGATCTGGTATTCTTCAAAAGCTGAAATAGCATTATACTAGTAGTTCGACCTTTAGCTCATATAATGAGGCCAAATTATTTAGGTTATTATTATGAACTGAATGCTCATTATCTCCCACCTCAATTCATTATGTCGAAGTCCCAACTCCCAATGTGACTGTATTTGGAGAAAGGGCCTTCATAAAGATAATGAAGGTTAAATGAGGTCAGAGGGTGGGGCCCTGATCCAATAGGATTAATATCCTTATAGGAAGAGACAGCAGAGAGCTAGAGCTCTCATGCATGCACCTTCTCTCTCTCAGGCAGCTGTCTACAAGCCAAGAAGAAGGACCTCACCAGAAACTGTACTGACCAGCACCTGACCTTAGACTTTTCAGCCTCCAGAACTGAGGAGTAAATTTCAACTGCTTAAGCCACCCAGTCTGTAGTGACTAAATTAAATTTACCTTATTAATTACACTTAGTCTTTTCTGTTATGGGAGCCTCAACAGACTAAGACACTAACTCTATTTTACTTAAGAACTAAATATAGCAAATTTGTAGACTATTTTTTTCATGTCTCTTCCATTTCATTCCAATGTTTCCCCCTTAAACCATCAAGCTACCTGTTCACTATGCAGGAAAAGCCAGAATGCATAATCGACACTTTGTTATGACACTTACCAACAAGCAAAACATTCAGTCGGGTAACACTGAATTATTTGTGGCTTAATAATCACTGTAATTCAATAATCAGTGTATTGAATAATGAAAGACTAAAATTTGGTAGTAAGTTCCCCAGAAGTTTCCGACATCTGAGTCTGCTAACTATTGCACCCCTGAAATTCCTGGAGAACATTGATGCATAAAGAAGTTGGTGCCCAGTGCAGTCAACTCAACCATGAAGTGCCTATCTTCTGGAGTTGACAGAAAGGGTCCCTTTCTTTCCTGTTGGACTGTTTCCTGTCCTGCACCACCCACTCTCTGTGGGCCGAGCAGGGATGAGTCAACAACACTCTTCATCAGGCACAGTTCTTATAAAAATATTTAATGGGGAGGTATGAACTAATCAAAGACTAAGACAATTAAAAACTATGAGTAATGAACATGGAGAACATTTTAAAAGGTAAATGATAAAGAGATATCAGACACCCTCAAGACTGAAAAGCATACACCCTCTTCCTACTCATTAAATATACTGGAAAGCATACACCCTCTTCCTACTTCAATATATTGGAAACCAAAAGCCAGTTACTAAGAGCCAGTGACATCATAAAAAAAACTTATGGCTAATGATTTTGCTTATTTCAAAAGAAATTATGAGAGGAAAGTAAAAGAAAACAGTAATGAAAGAATCAAGATCACTTGAAATTTGCCAAGATAGGCTTTTATATTTAGAAGAAGAAGAAAAAAACTTTAGCAGAGTGCTTCAAAAAAATAATATTAGGAATTTTTACCTAAATTAAGCATGCTATTAAAAACATTTTCTCTTTAGAATGCATTCCTAAAACACAAATGTGTATAATGTATTGGTGAACATATTTTCTTTCAAATAGATCTTTAGCTTTGGAAAAATAAAAGAGGTTTTGAAATGCTATTTTCTCTAAATCCCTTCCCCATATGTAACAGTTCTGAATATAAGATGAAGACAGCACACTTTATGAGCCTATCAGAGAGAATCCCATAATAATGACAAATGTGTACTTGAGAGAGAAGTCATTTTTATCAATTAGACATCACCTAAATTTACCATACTAATTACACTTAGTCTTTTCAAGGAAAAAAAACACACAAAACTGTGTTAAAAAAAATTTTTGCCAAATTTGTTAGGCACTTTAGCTCTTAACCTTATGAAAAGAAGAAAACTGGGCTTTGCCTTAGAGAGTCTATGAAACTTTAACTTGCTGGATCTAATCCTAATGAATTCTCTGAAATAATGACTCAGCACAGTGGAGATCCACTCCTGCAGCTTTCAGTCCTTTGTTAGCATGTGCAAATGACATATTCAAAACCCAGACGTCATGTAATAGCCAATAATTCAGAGGAATGCCAATCAATTTCCATTATATTATTTAATTGATCCAGCAAAGAGGAATATGGCTACCAGCAACAGCTCACTAAATATCAAACTTGCATTTATCTCAGGAACAACAAGCCAAAATAAAAACAGTCCTTTTCAGAGCTGGTGGCATTAAATGGGGCTCATTTCTAATAGGTTATCCTAGGTGACCACCTAAATAAAATGATATAAATCTGAACATCTGTATTTTTTTATTAAGTAATACTATAATTGGATAATGAACACTCACTGACCATACTACCAGGATAACCACCATATTAAATACATTCAAACCTTACTCCCAACATAAATAAAATTGGCTAAATAAGTGGAAAATCTCTTTATTAAACTACCTTCTAATAGGAAGACTGCTTGCTTTCGAAAAATTTTCACCAGTGTGTCATCCAATTCAATTTCCTGAAGTTTAGAAATGAGCTGCTCCTCATTCCGGCAAACCTTCTCTTGTGTGTACAGCCCATCAGGCATGATACGCTGCTGTCCCAGCCCTATCAGGGCTACCTCCACAGCTAGTGTTAAATAGGATTCCCCTTCTTCTAAGAATTTGTGTGCAGGTAGATGCTGGTATTCCAGAGATTTGCACTGTCCCATATTCTCTGTAAAATGTCACAAAAGAAATCAGAGTTCAGAAACTACTTTTTCAGGTACAAATATTTGTTTTACCCAGTACTTGTAAATGAATTATTGACTTAATTCCAAGAAGACCAAAAAACAAGTGTATAGCTTTCCATTATGTTTTCTAAATGAATAACTAGATGTGTATGTTTTGGGGGATAGAATATTACAAATATTTTTCCCATTGAAAATGAATCACCAAAGAAAACTATAAATCTAAGAGGAGATACTAAGAATACTTAAGAATGAGAAAACTTTTAATTAAACAAGTGTAAAATTATATGATGACTGCAACAGTTACCAATTCTTAAAAGCCTCACAATAAACAAAGTTTGCATACTTTTATCACAATGTTAAAATCTATACTAATAAAAGGGTAATATGCTAATTAGACCAGATTGACCGGACATCTTCCGGATGCCCGACTTCCTTCCGGACAAAGCCACGGTGGCGGGGGCTGAGGCAGAGGCGGTTAGGGGCGATCAGGCCGGCAGGGGAGCAAGCAGTTAGGGGCAATCAGGCCGGCAGGGGAGGGCAGTTGTGGGTGATCAGGCAGGCAGGCAGGCAATCGGTTAGGAGCCAGTGGTCCCAGATTGTGAGAGGGATGTCCCATCGGCAGTTGGACATCCCCCGAGGGGTCCCAGATTGGAGAGGGTGCAGGCCAGGCTGAGGGACACCCCCCTCCCATGCACAAATTTCATGCACCAGGCCTCTAGTTTATAATAAAAACAGTAGAGAATACAATACATGTAACCCAATTTCAAGGGCCTTTTTGTTATCAAATAAGTCATCAGTTATCACAATAGTAATGATTCTTTGAGCATTCTCTTATCTCTGTTTCCATTAGAAACTTAACAAACTTTCAACCATTGAACTCCCAAGGAAAGCACATTCACAGTCATACCTTTTGCCCTCCCAATAGAGTTTTGGGTCACCCATAATCCATGGAGGTAACCACCACAATAGACAATATGGAGGGAAGATAATAAACCCTCTGAGCTCACCCAACCCTGGAAGCAGCAAAGGGACAACCCTTTCTCACTCCCACATTATGCACATCCTTATTGTATATCTTTATGCTGGAAAACAGTCATCAATGCAAATAAATTCTTAGATGCACAACCACTGACTAGAAGAGAATAAATATGCCTAAAGTTCTTTATACATGCTGTCAACTGTCGAATCTGAGCCTGCCTGAAAAGCGGAGAGTGCCTATTTCCTTGCTCTCTTGCTAGCTGTAGATATTGTTAACTGTATGGATTCATAAAACAAACTGTGAAGAAAAATGACCACTGCCATTCAGAGTTTAGAAAAAAGGGCACACGAGACCAATGTCAAGGTTTTACCTGTGAAATTGGAGAATCCAGGGAAGCTTTCATCGTCCATGTGGCAGGCTTCCATAAGGCTGCTGAAAAGAGTGCCTACAGGGTCCAGAGGGTGTCCAACCCAGCCCTCCAGATTGGTTATCAAGGTTATGCTTTTATGGGGTAGCTCTGTGTAAGAAAAGGAAATTGAGAGATGAAAAGAAGTAAAGGGAAGAGAGGCTTTGCCATTTAAAGCAGCATCCTGACAAATTAATACTGAATTAAATTAAAAAACAAAGATACATATAATCCCCAACTTGTAAACTATTTTGAATTCGGAAGATTCATCTATAAATCAATATAAATGGTACTAACCTCCTAGGAAAGCTCCCAAACATCTATTTAATTCATGTGCCCAGGGTACAGTGTTAACATTACAATGTACACTTTTAAATTATGTTGTATGAGGAAATGTCAATTCCAAACTGTCACCTGAGAAGCTAGGGACAATTCCCCTCACTTCCTAAGAGTGACATTAGAGAGGACTAAAAAGTTGCCCCCAGAATTACCACTGGATAACTCTACAATTTTATTAAGAAGATGCTCTCAGAGTCAGTGCTCACTGGATCACCTAAGCTGGAGACTAGAGGGCCGTTGTGGCCTGGGTCAGACTTGGACTCCCCCATGAATATTATTAGCTTACTTCCCTATCACCTTATGAAATTGTTCCTTATCATGGATCAGTGAGCCATTTAAGGGAGGACCTTTGCCACAAAAAGGAACTATAGCAGAAGATAACATATCATTTGAATGAAACATATCCCTTTCATTTTTCACAGAATGTTAGCACTTTCAAGTTCTTCAGTTAAATTACAAAGTGCTGGAAGAAAGCTGCAAATATTTTAAAAGACATATTCCATTGTTGTAAAAAATGCAACACTTTACATCTTAGTGTTTACTAAAGTAATAAACGGTAATAGCCCCTTCTTAAATGAACATATAATAAAATCTATATACAATCCTATATAATAAAAGCGTAGTATGCAAATTGCCCCCTCAACTGGAGTTCTTCTGGGAGTTCGACCAGAGGGCGGACCGGCTTGGGGGAATTTCATGCACTGGGCCTCTAGTATAAAGTATATAAGAAAAAAACTGCTTGTAAATTGCTAAAGAGCCATTCCATGAATCCAACATTCCTTTAGAAGTTTTCTGGTTTGGACAATCAACTATCAGTACATAAAAATAAAGCATTGCCTACCATAATGTATTAAAATTTATAAAAGTTTGGTCCTAGATTCCTTGGAAAGGTCTTTCCCTTTGGTTTCTATCACTAGCTTTCATATACATAACCAGTATGAAAAAAAGAAATATGGGAACAACCAAATCTATATGCTTGGTAGGAAATTTTATATATATATATATATATATATATTGAAGGAAAGTGTTGTACTTATACAAATAAATCTGTCAAGTGATAGAAACTGAGGATAAAATTTTACAAAGTATTTCCTATATGTCCTTTCTTTTCACACAAAAATTAGTGAAAAAACACAGAAATGGGAGAAATAAAGTTTAAAAAGTAGTTTTTTAAAAATTGAGAAGTTGACTCGGGCACAAAGCCCACGCCATCTTGAAGGGGAGAGCGGCCTCTTCTAGGAACTCATCAGCACCACCACCCAGACAGGCCTGGGATACTGCCCGCAACCCAGCAGCCACTCCAGCCAAAATCCTGCTGCCCACCTGCAGACTCGCAGACCCTGGGATCTCCACCTCCAAAGGAGCACTGCCCGCAGCAGTAAGTGCAGCCTCCCCCTCCCCAGCGGCAGACCAGCGCGCAGGTCTCCGAGGCACACCAGCGCGCAGGTCTCCGAGGCACACCACTCCATAGACTTCTCTTTGGAGTCACTGTGAGCCCCAGCTGGGTGTGATTTTGTACAGACACAGGCGCACTGCCCCCCAGTAGAAATTCTGAATTCCCTCTGCCTGAATAATTGCCCACACACACCCAGCTGCGCAACTCAGCGCCCGGCCAAGGCACTGCCACAGTTGCTCACTCCCCCTGAGCCCACCTATCCACAGGACACTTTGGGAAGCCGCCCACCTATCCACAGGACACTTTGGGAAGCCGCAGTGAGCCTCCCGCTGGGTCCGATCTTGGACAAATAGGGACACACTCCCTTGGGCAGTAGAAATTCTGAATTCACCCATCCTGGATACCTGCCCAAAGACGCCTTGATTAAGCGCCAGGACCCTTCAGAGTGCTTCAGTGCGCCTGCGCTAGCAAACTCACTGTGGGTGCTCCTGTGCGCCACCACCGGGAATGCGCGCCTATCCACCACAGGTGCATCAGCAAAAACTGAGTTTCCCCACCCCACAGCTGCAGAACTCTGGACACTACAGTTGCATGCTTTTCCAGCGTGTAGGTCTCCCAAGACCAGCAGCCCTGGGGCCCCGCTGTGAGCCCCGCTGGACACGCACTTAAACAAACAGGGGTGCATTGCTGGGCTGTAGAAACGCTGAATTCCCTCTTCTGGGATACCTGCCCACAGACACTGCAATCCAGTGGCTTCAGTGCTAGGGCCCTTCAGAGTGTGTCAATACACCCTGCTAGCAAACACACCACAGGTGACCCTGTGAACTGCTGCTGGGATTGCGTGTATCCAACCACGGAGGCAGCAGCAAAAGCTGAGTCTGCCCACCCAACAACTACAGAACTCTGGACACCACAGACACGCCTTTCCAGAACACAGGCCTCCTGAGCCCCACTACCCCAACGGACGGTTCCTGGGTGCCACTGTGAGTACCGGCTGGGCATGCATGATTTCAACCAAAGGCACAAGACAGCAAAAATTGGGACACCCCATCCACGGCTGCTGACTTCTAGACACCTCAGTTGCGCCTTTCCAGCTCGCAGGCCTACATCAAGAGAACCCAAATAGCTCAAGTAGGGAGCTACACTATACTACTAAGCCCAGAAGACCTGAGAGGTCACACCAGTAGCACCATACCCAAAAGAAACTGGGTAGCAAAGCAATCGGAGCTACAATTAAAACATTACAGCAAAACATGGGAAGACAAAAAAGCAATCCACAAAGGAAAGAAAAAGCGAGGAATCACCAGAAAGGGAGTTAAATGAAATTGAGGCTACTAACTTATCAAAGAATTCAGAGTAATAGTTATAAGGATGCTCAAACGGCTGGATGACAAATACATACAACTCAATGAGAATTATAAGGAGCTGAATGAGAATGTCACCAACATGAAAAGGAACCAAGAGGAAATGAAGAATGACATAGCTGCAATAAAGAACACAATGGAAGGCTTAAACAGCAGACTAGAAGAGGCTGAGGACGACATCAGCGAATTAGAAGACAAGGTAGGAAAAAACACACAAACACAGGAGCAACTGGAAAAAAAAAACTTAAAAAGCAAGAGGAGAGCCTAAGGGAGCTTTGGGACAACGCAAAACGAAACAACATTCACTTAATAGGGGTACCAGAAGGAGAGGAGGATAAGCAAGGAATAGAAAACCTGTTTGAAGAAATAATGACAGAAAACTTCCCTGATACTGGCAAGAAAAAAACTACACAAGTCCAAGAAGCACATAGAGTGCCAAACAAGATGAACCCCAAAAGACCAACACGAAGACACATCATAATTAAATTGGCAAACACCAACGACAAAGTAAGAATCTTAAAGGCTGCCAGAGAGAGACAGAAAGTTACCTACAAGGGATCTCCTATTAGAATATCAGCTGACTTCTCAACAGAAACACACCAGGGCAAGAAGGAAATGAAAAGAAATATACAAAGTGATGCAAAGCAAGGGAATAAATCCAAGAATACTATACCCAGCAAGGCTATCATTCAAAATTGAAGGTGGAATCAGGAGCTTCACAGACAAAAAAGGGCTAAGAGAGTTTATTACCACCAAACCAATAATGCAAGAAATGCTAAAGGGACTGCTGTAAAAAGAAGAAACAGAAAGACAAGAAGAAACACAAACATTAAGAATAAAAATGACTACAAACAAGTACTTTTCAATAATAACATTAAATGTAAATGGATTAAATGCTCCAATCAAAAGACACAGGGTATCTGAATGGATAAGAAAACGTGACCCATATATTTGCTGTCTGCAAGAGACCCACCTCAGAACAAAGGATTCACACAGACTGAGAGTGAAGGGATGGAAAAAAATTTTTCAGGCAAATGGAAATGAGAAAAAAGCTGGGGTTGCAATACTTATATCTGACAAAATAGACCTCAAAGTAAAGGCCATAACAAGAGATAAGGAAGGCCACTACATAATACTAAAGGGAGCAATTCAACAAGAAGATGTAACTCTGGTAAACATATATGCACCCAATACAGGAGCACCCAAATACATAAAACAACTTCTGGAAGATATCAAGGGAGAGATCGATAGCAATACAGTCATAGTAGGGGACTTTAATACCCCACTGACACCACCGGATAAATCCTCTAAACAAAAAATCAGCAAAGAAACAGCAATCCTGCATGACTCACTAGAGCAGATGGACTTAATTGACATCTTCAGAATATTTCACCCCAAAGCTACAGAATATACATTCTTCTCCAGTGCACATGGGACATTTTCAAAGATAGACCATATCTTAGGACACAGGCAAAGTCTCTTCAAATTGAAAACAATAGAAATCATAACAAGCATCTTCTCAGATCACAATGGCATAAAACTAGAAATCAACTACAATAAAAACATCGAAAAAAAATCAAACACTTGGAGGCTAAATAGCATGCTATTAAACAATGACTGGGTTACCGGAGAGATCAAAGAAGAAATAAAAAGCATCCTAGAAACAAATGACAATGAAAACACAACAATCCAAAATCTATGGGACACAATGAAAGCAGTCCTGAGAGGGAAGTTCATAGCTCTACAGGTCTACCTCAAAAAACAAGAAAAACTGGTAATAAATGATCTAGCCACACAACTCAAAGAGTTAGAAAGAGAGCAACAAGAAAAGCCCACAGTATCCAGAAGGAAGGAAATAATAAAGATCAGAGCAGAAATAAACGACATAGAGACCAAAAAACAATACAAAAGATCAATGAAACCAAGAGCTGGTTCTTTGAAAGGATTAACAAGATTGATGAACCTCTCGCCAGGCTCACCAAGAAACAAAGAGAAAGGACCCAAATAAACAA